AGAGATACAGAGATACAGAGGAACAGAGATACAGAGATACAGAGATACAGAGATACAGAAATACAGAGATACAGAGATAAAGCGATACAGAGAAACAGGGATACATGGATTCAGGGATACAGGAATACAGAGATACAACGATACAGAGATATAGAGTTACATAGATACAGAGATACGGCGATAAACGGGTACGGGGTTACAGGGATACATGGATACGGAGAAGAATGATAGCTTGCAACCTTATTGGATGAATGTGAAAAGTTACAGAATTGCAGAAATTCATAAATAATAATCAATAAATATATATGAATACTTACAAGGATACATAGATACATAAATAGATACAGTTAGGATAAAAGTACAAGGGTAAAGAGGTAAATAGGTAAAAGTAAAAAAACATAAGGATTCAGATCTACAATCTTTATACTGGAGCTTTGATTAAACCCCTTTATCACTCTAGTATGCCGAGTCCATTAGCGCCTGATCCAATCAGGGTTCAGCCATGTGTTTGGTGTCTATTCTGAACCAATATAAATTGCATGGCGGTAAAATATATCTTTCTATCTAGCTCTTTATCCAATAAGAGATAAACCCTTATATTGGCGCTATATCAGTAAATGAAAATATTTACTTCTACTGAAATTATTGTGTTATAAACGAATCTATAAAGAGTAAATATTTGAACTCTGGAATTTATTCATTCCCACCAAAATATACGATTCCATCTTCTTCAAAATATTATACTCTGGTACGTATCTTTCCCTGTTTAGAGAAAAGGATTAAACCCTGCTATTTATACAATATCCATATCTGGAGTAAAGTAGTAAACTCTAATATTTATGTCTATGTAGAGTAAAGGATTAAACCCTGATATTTCACCAATATCCATATATGGAGTAAAGTAGTAAACTCTAATATTTATGTCTATGTAGAGTAAAGGATTAAACCCTGATATTTCACCAATATCCATATCTGGAGTAAAGTAGTAAACTCTAATATTTATGTCTATGTAGAGTAAAGTATTAAACCCTGATATTTCACCAATATCCATATCTGGAGTAAAGTAGTAAACTCATATATTTATGTCTATGTAGAGTAAAGGATTAAACCCTGATATTTCACCAATATCCATATCTGGAGTAAAGTAGTAAACTCTAATATTTATGTCTATGTAGAGTTAAGGATTAAACCCTGTTATCTATCCCCATTCAGAGAGTTAAGGAATAAACCCTGTTAATATCTATCCCCATCCAGAGAGTTGAGGATTAAACCCTGTTATCTATCCCTATCTGGAGTTAAGGATTAAACCCTGTAATCTATTCTTTTCCGGAGTTATGGATTAAACCCAGTTATCCATTCCTACCCAGAGTTAAGGATTAAATCCTGCATCTATCCCTATCCGGAAAAAAAGGATTAAACCCTGTTATATGTAGATCCCTATCCGTAGTGAAGGATTAAACCCTGTTATACATAGATCCCTATCCGTAGTAAAGGATTAAACCTTGAAGGATGTAATGCCTGAGATCTGACTCAACGTTCTGACAGACAGACAAATAGCGCTCATTAGACCCTGACTCAACACTGCGACCGAAATTACACTTAATACAGACATCAATCTCACGTCAGGTTTTATTGAAAACTATTAGAGCTGGCAGGTCCTACCCACAGATACCAGGGTTTCATTTCCACAGATACAAGGAGTTCATTCACACAGATACCAGGGTTTCTTTCTCACATATACCAGGGGTTAATTCCCACAGATACCAGGGGTTCATTCCCACAGATACCAGGGTTTCATTCTCAAATATACCAGGGATTCATTCCCACAGCTACAAGGGTTTTATTCACACAGATACCAGGGTTTCATTCCAGAGATACCAGGTGTTCATTCCACAGATACCAGGGTTTAATTCTCAAATATGCCAGGGTTTCATTCTTAAGAGACTAGGGGTTCATTTCCACTAACACCAGGGTTTCATTCCCGCAGATGCCAGGGGTCCATTCCCATAGATACCAGGTTTTCATTCCCACAGATACTAGGATTTCATTCCAACGGATACCAGAGTTCATTCCCACAGATACAGATACAAAGTTTCTTCCCCGCAGATACTAGGGTTTCATTCCCATACATACCAGGGGTTTCCACAGATACCAGTGTTTTAATTCAACAATTATAAGGAGTTCATTCCCACTGATATCAGGGGCGTATTCCAACAGATACTAGTGATTTATTTCAACAGATACCAGGGGTTTATTCCCACAGATACCAGGGTTTTAATTCCACAGATATCAGGGTTTCATTCACACAGATATCAGGGTTTCATTCACACAAATATCAGGGTTTCATTTCCTTGGAGGGTTTTATTCCCACAGATACCAGGGTTCCATTTCCTTGGATACCAGGGTTTCATTTCAACAGATACCAGGGTTTAATTCCCACAGATAACAGGGTTTCATTCCTCAGATACCAGGGTTTAATTCACAGAGATACCAGGGTTTCATTCCTTAGATACCAGGGTTTAATTCACACAGATACCAGGGTTTCATTCCCACAGACACCAGGGTTTCATTCCTTAGATACCAGGGTTTCTTTCCCACAGATACCAGGGTTTAATTCCCACAGATACTAGGGTTTCATTCCTTAGATACCAGGGTTTCTTTCCCACAGATACCAGGGTTTAATTCCCACAGATACTAGGGTTTCATTCCTTAGATACCAGGGTTTCTTTCCCACAGATACCAGGGTTTAATTCCCACAGATACTAGGGTTTCATTCCTTAGATACCAGGGTTTCTTTCCCACAGATACCAGGGTTTAATTCCCACAGATACTAGGGTTTCATTCCTTAGATACCAGGGTTTCTTTCCCACAGATACCAGGGTTTAATTCCCACAGATACTAGGGTTTCATTCCTTAGATACCAGGGTTTCTTTCCCACAGATACCAGGGTTTAATTCCCACAGATACTAGGGTTTCATTCCTTAGATACCAGGGTTTCTTTCCCACAGATACCAGGGTTTAATTCCCACAGATACTAGGGTTTCATTCCTTAGATACCAGGGTTTCTTTCCCACAGATACCAGGGTTTAATTCCCACAGATACTAGGGTTTCATTCCTTAGATACCANCTACAATTGATAATATTTCTACCCTTATACTGCACGGAAGCATGACAAAAGCTGCTGAATAGGTCGGATGGGCAAGAAGATATGCCCATCCGACCTACAGCTGTCGTAGGTCAGATGTTGCAGTAGGTCGGATGGGCAGTATAGCGGATGGGCAATAGGACGGATGAGCAGTAGAGCGGATCAGCATTACCATAAAAAAGATTCTGAACAATAGTTTTTTTTAAAAGGTTTAAATAAATATTTCGCAAAGATTGATAATTGTCCGTATTTTCCGGCCTGCAATGTTCTGCAATGTTCGCCAATTTGACTAATAGTCCGTTTTTAGATGAGTTAGATAAAAAAGTCCTTTTTTGGTTAAATTGGCATGTATCTCCTGAAGCTAAGATTTAGAATTGAGGGCCATGTTTCCAGAGCCCAATCTTCAGTTTACATAGAAATTCCTTGAAGCTTGTTTACTTTTAAGAAATATTTTTATAAAGGCAATTTGACTTTGTTGAAATATTTCCAGTTAAATTAAGAGAATTATTCAATTTTCTATAACTATACTTCCAACCGACCTTCTACCTGAAAACCTTAGAAAAATGCTCTGTTGGTCTCTAATGTTTAGTTTTTTTTTTCCTTTACTTTAGGATAAATGTCAAATTCAATTACTAATTTAAGATGATCCCGTCTAAAAATCTTGATAATACAGGGTGTCCCACGAAACATGACAGTATGCAGGACGACTTAAATGTCGTCTTGATTTTTGATATAATTTGCTGTGTTTTTTTGTCAACCTAATTTTAGAAGTAAATTTCTAAAGATAATAATCACAAAATTTCCCTTGTCCTGCCATTTCCAAAATGTGGTCTGCCTTTTTTGTGCTTTCAATATTGCCCGAGATATGAAGAATTTCGTTCAGATTTCGACAATTTTGCTTTTATTTAACAAAATTGAAATCTGAACCAAACTCTTTATATCTCCGGTAATATTGAAAGCACAAAAAACGCAGACCACTTTTTGGAAATGCCAGGGCTAGGAGAATTATGTGATAATTGTTTCAAGAATCCTACATGTTAAAGTAGATAGAAGACTAAATGTCACAAATAAATTCAAATATCAAAGACGACTTTCAAGTCGTCTTCCTATTGTCATGTTTCGTGGGACACCCTGTAGATTAAATTCTAATTAAAAAACTTCAGTCTTTTTTGGACTTATTGAAAAGAATATCTATTTAATTTAGGTTTTCCATTATTCCCAAAAAAAATTTCCATTTTGGAAATGGAATGATCCGCGGACGTTTCTTTTCGTAAACTGGAAAAATTTCCGGGTTTCATTCCGTAAGCCGTAATAACTCCGGTTTCCATTCCGTAAACCGGAAAAATATCTGGATTTCGTTCCGTTAACTGAAAAAATCCGGCTCCCGTTCCGTAAACCGGAAAAATTGGACTTTTTGAAAGGAATTTCTATTTATAATGGATAAACCTAATACTAAAGGGGACGGGGAATATTAAATTCGGCGAGGATAATTAATTTTTCCAGACTTTTTAAATATTTGAATCCATATCCATTCGCAACCTAAGCCCTACTCATCTTTAATAAGGATCCCTTCCCATCCTGAACCCTACTCATCTTAACTAAGGATTGATTTTTCAAATAATTTTTTTCAGATAAAACGAACAACTTTACTATTATAAAAGTCTGTTCTTTGAAAATTTGTTCAATCAAGTCAATTTAGATCAAATTCAAAATTTGTTACAAGAAGTTCAACCTTAATCAAAAAACAATGTTGTCAATCATATATGTAAAAAAATTTGTAGTAGAAATCATTTGTCATTTATGTTTGAGTTTCAAAAATTTAAGAAATTAAGAATCACCTTAAAAAACAACAAATTCATTACAAAGAGTTTATTGAACATAAGAGAAATTAAACTGAGTGAATTTTCGGTACAATGCATTTGGTTAAAATAAATTGCGCTTTGATCAACGAGCTTAATCAACCTCCTCCATTCTGCTGGCATCCTCTGCATCTCCCTCTAGAGGAGGCATATCCATATCATCTGCAGCAGCCTCAGCCTCGTTATCCTCCTCATCAATACCCAGACCAAGCTTAATCATCCTGTGAATTCTCATAGCGTGAACCATAGGATCCTCCAGGCTGAACCCGGAGCTGAGGAGAGAGGTCTCGAACAGGAGCATGACAAGATCCTTGACAGACTTGTCATTCTTGTCAGCTTCAGCTCTGACTCTGAGGTTCTCGACGATGGAGTGGTCGGGGTTAATCTCCAGGTGCTTCTTGGCAGCCATGTATCCCATGGTAGAGGTGTCTCTGAGAGCCTGAGCCTTCATGATCCTCTCCATGTTGGCGGTCCAACCATACTGAGATGTAACAATGCAGCAGGGGGATGAGACGAGACGGCTTGAGACAACAACCTTCTCTACCTTCTTGTCCAGGATATCTTTCATTACTTTGCACAGGGGTTCGAACTTCTTAACATCCTCCTCACGTTTCTTCTTCTCCTCCTCATCCTCGGGGAGCTCAAGACCCTCCTTGGTGACTGAGACGAGGTTCTTTCCGTCGAACTCCTTGAGCTGCTGAACAACATACTCATCAATAGGTTCAGTCATGTAAACAACCTCGAGTCCACGCTTCTTCAGTCTCTCAACAAACGATGAGGTTGCAACAACCTCCTTGGATTCTCCGGTAATGTAGTAAATATCCTTCTGGGTCTCCTTCATCCTGGAAACATAATCTCCGAGAGAGCACATCTCATCACCAGAGGCAGAGGTGTAGAATCTGAGGTGTCCAGCAAGCTTCTTCCTGTTGGTAGAGTCCTCGTGGATTCCGAGCTTGATGTTCTTTCCGAACTGCTCGTAGAACTTCTTGTAGTTGTCCTTATCCTCAGAGATCTCCTCGATGACATCCATGACCTTCTTGACGATGTTCTTTCTGATAACCTTGAGGATCTTGTTCTGCTGAAGCATCTCTCTAGAGATGTTGAGGGGAAGATCTTCAGAGTCAACAACTCCACGGACAAAGTTGAGATACTCAGGGATGATATCCTCGCAGTTGTCCATGATAAAGACACGACGAACGTAGAGCTTGATGTTGTTCTTTGACTTCTTGTTCTCGAACAGATCAAAGGGGGCACGCTTGGGGATGAAGAGAAGAGCTCTGAACTCAAGCTGACCCTCAACAGAGAAATGCTTGACGGCGAGATGATCCTCCCAGTCGTTAGTCAGAGACTTGTAGAACTCTCCATACTCCTCGTTGGAGATATCATCAGGAGATCTAGTCCAGATAGGTTTGGTTTTGTTCAGTTCCTCATCCTCAGTATACTTCTCCTTGATCTTCTTAGTCTTCTTTTCTGTGCTCTTCTCAGCATCAGCATCCTCTCCAACATCCTCAATCTTAGGCTCCTCTCCCTCCTTGGGTTCCTCAACCTCGGCCTCATCGTCGGAAACCTCCTTCTCACGCTCCTTCTGGACCAAGAGCTTGATAGGATATCCAATAAATTGAGAGTGCTTCTTGACAATCTCCTTGATCTTCTTCTCCTCAATATACTCGCACTGATCTTCCTTCATGTGGAGAACGATCTTGGTTCCACGGCCCAGGGGCTCACCGTTGTCGGTCTTGATGGTGAAAGATCCTCCAGCGCTGGACTCCCAGATGTACTGCTCGTCATCGTTGTGCTTGGAGGTGACGACAACCTTGTCAGCGACAAGGTAGGCTGAGTAGAAACCTACTCCAAACTGACCAATCATACTAATATCAGCTCCGGCCTGAAGAGCCTCCATGAAAGCTTTAGTTCCAGATTTTGCAATTGTTCCCAAGTTGTTGATCATGTCGGCCTTGGTCATTCCAATACCGGTATCAATGATGGTTAGGGTCTTGGCGTCAACATCAGGGATGAGCTTGATGTACAGATCCTTCTGTCCCTCCAGCTTGCTAGCATCAGTGAGGGATTCATATCTAAAAACAAACAACGTTTAAAACCACAATTCTCATAAAATCAGGGAGAGGAGACAAGAACGCGAGATAAAACTAGAAGCTCAAGAACAAAGAGGAAGAGAGTGGGGAGGGGTCAGGGCGCCAGGGAAAACACAAGAACCCGTTCTCGGGTCTAATCC